ATCTTAGTTTTTTTGATGTTGAGTTTCAGGCCGTTTTTTGCACTCTCCTCTTTCACCCTCATTACAAGGTTCTTTAATTCCTCCTCACTTTCTGCCAGCAGAGTGGTATCATCTGCATATCTGAGATTGTTGATATTTCTTCCGGCAATCTTAATTCTGGCTTGGGATTCCTCCAGTCCAGCCTTCCGCATGATGTATTCTGCATATAAGTTAAATAAGCCGGGGGACAATACAACAACAACAAAATGATTTAAATCAGTGGTTCTCAAATTTGGGTCCCCAGATATTCTTGGACTGCAGCTCCCAGAAATCCTGGCCAGCACAGGAAGTGTGAAGGCTTCTGGGAATTGTAATCTAAGAATGTTTAGGGACCTCAGTTTGAGAACCATTGGTTTAAATTTAAAAATCAGATTTTTTTAAAATTTAAATTGCAATTTAAATTGTGATTTAAATTACTTTGATTTTGAAAAAAAAAGATCGATTTTTATCCGTCCTGGTTAACCAGCATGCTTATATTTTATTGTTTGTCTCATCAGTTTTTGCCTTGGACCCCATCACAACTGGAATGTTGCCACCTACCTAATAATTTATTTGAAATTCAATTTGCCCCTTGGGCTGGAAGAGATTCTGTACCCTTGTAATATAAAGGTGTGCATGATTATTCTCTCCCCTATATTTTGGGGAAGAAATGGATTATGTTCCCCAAACTGATTTTCCTTTATCTGGATTAAGGTGAAAGTAACCAACAACACATTGTAATAGTTACGGAAGATAGTGATAATAACAGCCTGTTTTGTTTCATTTTTTAATGTGGTCTTAAAACTACAGTACAATAATTAATACACTGTACATAATGTAATTATGGTAAATCAATATAAAATGTTAAGTCAAACACTACATTTCAAGTGATGTACCAATATTTCTGCCATGTGATAAATAAATCCTGTGTGTTTTCATAATTATCGTATAACCCAGTTTCATAATTTGAACATTATCCCAGGTCATCTATTCTGAGATTATGGGACTCTTCCCATATCTTTTGAATTACATTTTTTTTTGATGTCTTGCTATTAGTATGTTGGGAGCAGTGCCTAGGAGCCCAAGAACCACACAAGTGACTTTAAGTTTGCATTTACTGAGCAGCAGCCATCCCATATGGTCCAGAAGTAAAGCCAAACTACAATTTGTTACTGCTTGAATAAACCTTTAAGGAGGGTCAGGGTTATGTGCTTTGTCTTCTCCATGTGAGGTGTAATTCTTTCTGGATTGCAGTGAAGCATGATTTGCCATCTTGAGTCACACAACAAACAATGGTTGGTACAACTGGAAGCTGCAGAGGAATTAATATGTGAACCCAAGGCCTTGATTCATTGACATAAAGCCAAATCATGGGTGGTTGTGTTTTGAACAAGCACCTTCTAATGGTTCTCATTTGGAACCAAGAATAATTTCAAAATGTTTTTTAATCACTGGTGTATATGTCTCCAGTCCACAAAGAAGTAAAATTAGAAGTCAATTACACTCTAGTCTGAATCCTTAAAATCTGCAATCTGTAATGGTACAAATTATTTCCCAGATTATAATTTATTTACAAAAACAAAGACTATGGGAGCATGTGTACTATATATGGGAAAGATTTTCTTTAGGTTTTTACCTTTTTCTAGCAAGAACATTATAAATGTTACTACTATCCATAGCCTTTCAGCAAGACAGAAAACTGTTGTTGTTTTACTCCATAAAAAAGCTTGTTTATAGCTGTGGGAATATTTTAAGAACAATTGAAATGAATTCATGGTGTTCAGTTATCTTGCTATTTTTATTTCAGACATTGTTTGATAATCAGAACAATGCTTCAAAAAAAGAAGAACCAGAACACACAAATAAAAATGATTCAAAGAAGATGTCTGTTGAAAGAGTTTATCAGAAAAAGACTCAGCTTGAGCATATACTTCTCCGTCCTGATACATACATTGGTTCAGTGGAACCTTTGACTCAGGTAATTTACATTTTTCTGCCCATTAAATTGAGACATCTGTATTGCTGGAGAAAGTGTCAAGCTATGTACAGTATGTTTGTATTTGTCTAAGAGCCAGTGTGGTGTAGTAGTTAGATTATGAGACTGGGAGAGCCATGTACAGTTTCCACCACCTCTATCATCATCTTAGAACTGCAGAGCTGAAACAGACACTATGGATAATCAAGTCCAACCCCAGTTAAGGAGTCAAAGCGGGGAATTGATCTCCTAGCCTCTGACTCTGCAGCCAGATACCTAAACCCTGAGTCATAATACTTATTAAGTGTCATTGAACCAGTCATTCTTTTACAAGTTGACCAACCTCATAATATTTCTATACAGTGGACCCTCGACCTACGGAATTAATCCTTATTGGAACGGTGTCCGTAGGTCGAAAAGTCTGTACAGTACGTCGAAATCCGTAACCGGCCCAAGAATCCCCCCCCACAAAAATTTGTAAAAATAGAACTTACCTTTCTGAAGCCTTCCAGGGGTCCCCTGCTGCCACCATCACCACTGCTTGAGGCCTCCGAGGGCTTCTCCGCCACTGCCGGAGGCCTCTCAGAGGTCCCTTGCTGCAGCCATTGCCACTGCTCATAACCATACAGAAGGTCATGATTTCCCCCTCTAGGTATATACATACACATAAATCTTCAGAGGGACATACAGTGGACCCTTGACGTACGCATGGCTCAATGTATGTACTTTTCAAGGTCCAGACTTCTCTGGCTGCAAGATTCCCAATCGACTTGTGGCCAGAGAATAGACCTATTTGGTGTTTTCCCCGCCTCCCCCTTCCAGTCTGTAGGCCACCGATCGTACCTCCAGATGCCTTCCAGGGCTTCTCCACCGCCATGGGACGCGGCGATCGGTAATGGAGGGGGGGACCTCTGAGATGCCTCCCATGGCGGCAGAGAAGCCCTGCAAAGCATCCAGAGGTCCTCCACCACTGGTGCTGCTGCTAGGAGCCACACCATGCCGGGCAATCCTGGCCATGCTCGGACTCCTGGACTTCCCCCGCCACCGCTGCTGGGAGCCACTCTGCACCATGCTTGGACAGCAGTGGTGGCAGGGGAAGTCCAGGAGTCCGAGCATGGCCAGGATTGCCCGGCATGGTGTGGCTCCTAGCAGCAGCACCGGTGGTGGAGGACCTCTGGATGCTTTGCAGGGCTTCTCTGCCGCCATGGGAGGCATCTCAGAGGTCCCCCCCTCCATTACCGATCGCCGCGTCCCATGGCGGTGGAGAAGCCCTGGAAGGCATCTGGAGGTACGATCGGTGGCCTACAGACTGGAAGGGGGAGGCGGGGAAAACACCAAATAGGTCTATTCTCTGGCCACAAGTCGATTGGGAATCTTGCAGCCAGAGAAGTCTGGACCTTGAAAAGTACATACATTGAGCCATGCGTACGTCAAGGGTCCACTGTATGTCCCTCTGAAGATTTATGTGTATGTATATACCTAGAGGGGGAAATCATGACCTTCTGTATGGTTATGAAGATTCTCAGTCATCCAGGTGAGGTTATCTGGAAGTTGAGTCATGGCAAGTGGACTTCTTTCTTACGTTCTATATGTTGTTTGACTCTACTTTCTGTCAGCCCCTGGCAAGAATATTGGCTAGGGACATAGGGAGCTGGAATCTGTTGGTATCCAATAGGCTATGGATTCACTACTGCTGGTTTATAAGAGAATGAAGAGACAAATAGTCAGTTTTAGGGATTGAAAATAAATGTATTTTATAGATGTTAAAGTATTAGCAATAAATATTTTTTTAAAATTTAGCTAGTAGAACTTTTTTCTTTTATTCATAGACGATGTGGGTGTTTGATGAAGACATAGGAATGAACTGTAGAGACGTTACCTTTGTTCCTGGCTTGTACAAGATCTTTGATGACACTGTCTCCAGGGCGCTTGACCGCTGTCGTGCCACCACCTCCTCTTTGGACCCTTGCCCGGCCTGGCTAATCAAAGCAGCCAGGCCGCTAACAACGGAGTGGGCCACGGCTATAATAAATGGGTCTCTCCTTGAGGGCAGATTTCCATCTGCCCTGAAGGACACACTCATTAGGCCCATCAGGAAGAAACCTAGTTTGGCGGCGGACGAAATTGGCAACTACAGGCCCGTCGCCAATGTTTCTTTCCTTAGCAAGGTAGTCGAGAGGGTGGTGGCCGACCAGCTTCAAGCGCTCCTGGATGAAACAGATGCCCTGGATCCATTCCAGTCGGGCTTCAGGCCGCGCCACGGCACAGAAACGGCTTTGGTCGCCCTGTGTGATGACCTATTGAGGGAGGCCGATAGGGGCAAAGTGTCCCTGTTGGTCCTCCTCGATATCTCAGCGGCCTTTGATACCATTGACCACAAAGTAGAGTCAAACAACATATAGAACGTAAGAAAGAAGTCCACTTGCCATGACTCAACTTCCAGATAACCTCACCTGGATGACTGAGAATCTTCATAACCATACAGAAGGTCATGATTTCCCCCTCTAGGTATATACATACACATAAATCTTCAGAGGGACATACAGTGGACCCTTGACGTACGCATGGCTCAATGTATGTACTTTTCAAGGTCCAGACTTCTCTGGCCGCAAGATTCCCAATCGACTTGTGGCCAGAGAATAGACCTATTTGGTGTTTTCCCCGCCTCCCCCTTCCAGTCTGTAGGCCACCGATCGTACCTCCAGATGCCTTCCAGGGCTTCTCCACCGCCATGGGACGCGGCGATCGGTAATGGAGGGGGGGACCTCTGAGATGCCTCCCATGGCGGCAGAGAAGCCCTGCAAAGCATCCAGAGGTCCTCCACCACTGGTGCTGCTGCTAGGAGCCACACCATGCCGGGCAATCCTGGCCATGCTCGGACTCCTGGACTTCCCCCGCCACCGCTGCTGGGAGCCACTCTGCACCATGCTTGGACAGCAGTGGTGGCAGGGGAAGTCCAGGAGTCCGAGCATGGCCAGGATTGCCCGGCATGGTGTGGCTCCTAGCAGCAGCACCGGTGGTGGAGGACCTCTGGATGCTTTGCAGGGCTTCTCTGCCGCCATGGGAGGCATCTCAGAGGTCCCCCCCTCCATTACCGATCGCCGCGTCCCATGGCGGTGGAGAAGCCCTGGAAGGCATCTGGAGGTACGATCGGTGGCCTACAGACTGGAAGGGGGAGGCGGGGAAAACACCAAATAGGTCTATTCTCTGGCCACAAGTCGATTGGGAATCTTGCAGCCAGAGAAGTCTGGACCTTGAAAAGTACATACATTGAGCCATGCGTACGTCAAGGGTCCACTGTATGTCCCTCTGAAGATTTATGTGTATGTATATACCTAGAGGGGGAAATCATGACCTTCTGTATGGTTATGAAGATTCTCAGTCATCCAGGTGAGGTTATCTGGAAGTTGAGTCATGGCAAGTGGACTTCTTTCTTACGTTCTATATGTTGTTTGACTCTACTTTCTGTCAGCCCCTGGCAAGAATATTGGCTAGGGACATAGGGAGCTGGAATCTGTTGGTATCCAATAGGCTATGGATTCACTACTGCTGGTTTATAAGAGAATGAAGAGACAAATAGTCAGTTTTAGGGATTGAAAATAAATGTGTTTTATAGATGTTAAAGTATTAGCAATAAATATTTCTTTAAAATTTAGCTAGTAGAACTTTTTTCTTTTATTCATAGACGATGTGGGTGTTTGATGAAGACATAGGAATGAACTGTAGAGACGTTACCTTTGTTCCTGGCTTGTACAAGATCTTTGATGAAATTCTTGGTAAGTGTTGTTTACTGCTTTCACCTTTTGCAAAATGCTTGGAAGATTGTAGGTATGTATATACTGGCCATAAATATAATTTTTTGTCTTTAAGTCATTAATGATAATATTTTGGGAATGTGCTGTGATATTGCATGTTCCCTCCTTTTACTGTTTACACCCTCACTTGTGAATTCCCCTACAGAACTCCTGCTGACCTTAACTGTCTCTTGATGTTATACCTTTATCAGTGTTAACATGATAATGTTAACCTGGCTATATTCCTAATTGCACATTTGCAAGACTAAGTTCAGCCAGTCTGTGATTAACTGTAAAAAATCTTTGGGGAAAAATTATATCAAGTCAAGATTAAGAGTGAATGGGGATGAAGACCAAGCAATTCCACACCTGTTCCCAATCCATTAAATACAGTAGCCAACTATTATTGCAGCAGTACTCGTCCCTATACATTTGTATGGAGTACTTACTAAATGGTGATTAAGTTTACACTGTGTGTTAGAAAGGATTATAACAGTAAAGGAGACACCATAATCACTTTATTAAAAAAAAAATCGAGAACATCCAGTAAGTTTTACCAGCATTTTTGCAGTTGTTTCATGGTCTTGTGTATTGCCTGCTGGAGACATTTGCCCTTTAGCAAACTGCTGGAGCACATATGAAAGAGGGAGAGGGGAGGCATGAGGATGGGAGTGGGAGTGACTGCTTGCACAAGGAGGTTTCAGAAACTAGCCTTGCACCACTTCCAAACAATTATGTCTTCTTGACTTGTGCAAAAAGTATTTGTACAAATGTAATTACATAATTGGATCTCTGAGAGTTAAATGGAAAAATGTTGATTAGATACTATATCAGTGTGTGTTAACTTGGTGTAATGGCAGTAAGAACTAGTTCTGACCTGAGATGGGCTATATGGTGTTTGATAATGCATTATCTTCTGGCCAGTTATCTTTAAGCAGTTTTTTCTTCCTGGGTCAACATGTTACAACAACATCTTGCATGAAATGAGGAGCCACAGATTTGTCCTGGAGATTTCCGTTCTCCAACATTACAGTTGTCAGAGGTCATAGATAGAGGTATAAGTGAGATCATACAGGGATTTTGTGTGTGTGTTTGTGTGTGTATATATACATCTTGGAAAACTGGCAGAAGTATAATACACAAAATTCCTCAGAGGCTATTGTTTAATACTTTATGTAAGAAGGATTACAACTTGTAAGCTGTAAATAATAGATCCAGTAACATTGATTATATATTATCAGAAGAACGAGGATGCAATTCTAAGTAGTGTGCTTGGAAGATCCCTTTGACCTAAGTTGACTAGTAGCATTTGTTACAGAAGGATTGCCTGTGGTGTGTTAAAGCTTTTATTTGTGCAGTTGTGTTGTGTGTGGTGAATATTTATACATAGTGTAGTATAGGTGAAGTCTTCATTGAGTGTTTAGTAGGTGAAATACTTACTGCCACTAAGAAGTGTTGATTTTTTCTAGTAAATGCAGCTGACAATAAGCAGAGGGATAAGAATATGACATGTATTAAAATATCAATTGATCCGTAAGTATTTATTTATCTTTTATTTGCCTGCATAATGGGAATGATTTCTTGAAATGTATTATATTTAATTTGTTTATATTTCTAAACCTACTTGGCTTTATTTAGAATTAATGGGAGGGGGAATGTAAAAACACATCTTGATATGAAAACTGCTTATATAAGCATAGTTAAAGTGGAAGCAAGAGTTGAATTTTATTGTAAGACAAACTGGCCAGTACCCTGTTCAGTGTTTTACACCTATAAATCTCCCCCTGGTGGAAGTTGCTGCAGCACTCTAACACTGTGCCAGTCATGTGCTTGTCTCATGTAACTGGCACTGCATCAAATCACCACAACAGTTTCTTCAGTTACAGCCACATGCATGAAAATATTAAGCAGTGTACTGGCTAATGAGTGTATAAAAAGAGGGTAGTGTAAGGGGAAAATTGATTTTGAGTATCATGATATTTACGATATGTGTATCAGTTTTATGAATGCCAGCCATATAAAGCTTAATTTTTTTAATTAATCACATTGATCACTGAATATACAGTGATTTTATTTTTATAGATTTTTTTAAAAAAACACAGGTATCAGTCATGTGAAATCTGTGTGAACAACAGAATTTTAGAGTAAGGATGCCCTTACACTAGTAGATAGTTCTACTGCTAATGAAAAGACTATTTCTGGTTTGGCAGAAGAATTTACATCAGAAAAGTGATTCCCCAAATTCAGAGCAGTTCCAATTGTGTAAGTATTTGCACAGGTTCACTTTCAATATCACTTTTGTTGCTTCCTAGAGTGAGGTGTTATAGCTTAGATGGTTGGACTGCCTGGCCGCTAGTAGCATCTCCTATGTAATTCTGCTCTCAAGCCATTATTTGAAGCCTGTATGATGTTACTTCCACAAGCACACAATCTTAAAATGTGATGGAAATATAGGGTTCCCTGGAGAATAACTTGAAAATAATGTGACAGTTATATTGTTAATATGGAATTCAAAATCTCTGGCTATATTTTTGCCAAAATAATTATTGTTACCTTTCTAGTGAATCAAATATTATAAGCATTTGGAATAATGGAAAAGGTATTCCGGTTGTGGAGCACAAGGTGGAAAAGATGTATGTTCCTGCCTTGATTTTTGGACAGCTGTTAACTTCCAGCAATTATGATGATGATGAGAAGAAAGTTACAGGTAACATAATGCATATTCTATTCAGGACCACTTAGGGGACTAATTTTAGTAGCCATAATTCTATGATCTTTGTCTTGTTTGGTGGAAATGAAGTATTTTAGTTAAGTATATTAATTTTGCATCCCTGTAGAAGCGGACTTCTAAACAAAGCACTAATGCTTTGTAAATATAGTTGCTTTACTCATTGGAATATTTGGTGCATATTTTATATTATGTTATTAGGAGGTTTGCAAAGTGCTGAATAGTTTCAAAATAAAATTATTTTTAACTGCTACTCATTATTTTAGGTGGTCGTAATGGCTATGGTGCAAAGCTTTGTAACATATTCAGTACAAAGTTTACTGTTGAAACTGCCTGCAAGGAATACAAACACAGTTTTAAACAGGTACACTGGTTTCTCTTTGATCGCTTATTTCTTTGTTGTTTGATTGAGGGGAAGAAACTTTAAAATAAGTTATAGTGGGATAAATATCCAATTGTAACTCTTGTATGGATACTAATTAGTACAATAACATTTCTGGTATGTTTGCACCTTAAGAACATTTGTCATATTTGACAGATAGCAAATATATGTCTTTTGAAACATAGTTTTTTATGTGATTCTCTTTAATTGCCCTGACCCTAGTGGAGAAGTATCACAAACTGCTATTGCAGAAAATGCTGTCTCATATTTTCCAGTGTATTCAGCTTCCGGTCAGTGTATATATACAATGATGTTTCTTCTCACACAGAATCGGTGACTGGTTTATTTCTGAAGCACACAAGGGCAGGGAAATGTATGGGATTTTCACTGCTGTTTTCTTCATATCTTCTGGGATATGTGGAACATATAATTTCTAAACACGCTAGCGTCACATCTGTTATGAGCATTTTCTTTCTTTCTAGCCATTGTTATTACATATGTGTTATAGTATAGATGGAAATAATTTACTGTACCAGATTATTTTCTGATGGCTAAAATTCTTTGGATAGCATCCAATAAAAACTAACAGAAAAAGTTCACAAAGGTGATGACTAACTAGTGG